ACCACTCCCGCTGCTGGCTCTTTGCGGCCTGCCTAAAATGGCGCTAGCGCCGTGGTTCCAGTAACTAGAGGCAGGAGCTCCGCCTCCAGTTCCCCCAGCGGGCCCGGCTCCCGCTGGCAGCGTGCAACGGACCTGCCTGTTCATTGCTTCTAGTCGTGCAGCTATATGGGGGGTGCGTTGCCTTCCTATCACCTCCTTAAGCTGATTGATACCCCGCTATCATCTCTCTTCGCACACGACTGGCTACATGAGCCCACCAAGCCCACTCCGCAACTCAGTAACCTACAACGACGAGTCTGGTGTAAGCAGCCACAACCCCTCTCCGGATGAATCTCTATACACGTATTCGGGCTGTCAGTTTGTTAATAACTTTTTTAAAAACAGCCATATCATCGTTGTGTAACTCTATCAGACGCGTTCTTTTTGCTGTGCACACATTCGATTTCTCTTCTCCTCTCACCCCCTGCTCCCATGCTGTCGTTTGATACTGTGTCTCGATTCAATCACCTTCACGAGAGAGTACAAGTGGTAAGGACCGGTTCTGGTCCGTTCTGTATCTGACGGCGTGCTTTCTAGTCGTCGTTTGACGACGTTAGGGATGCACCTGTATCACTGAGAGTCCACACTCAACGCCATTCACACAGGCGACACGCTTCACCACACTGCAGATGGCAGCGGCTGTCACTGCAAGGGCTGAACCCAACTTTAACCGGAATGGAGAGCTAATCTCTTATGGACACCACACACGTGCTATGGGTCACAGCAACTACTAGCCACTCAGGAGTGCCACTGCATCACGGTAGCATTTGGGGTGCACGTTCGCGCCTTGCCTCAAGGAACTTCACCGACACTGCCAGCGAGCAGAGCCGGGGGACTCGAACCACGGACCTTGGCCAGGCCTTCCAATTAGTGGACAACCCGCTCTACCTATGAGCCACAGCTGTCCTAGAAGTAAGCCAAAGAAGTAAGCCAAATACTATGATATAGGCCTACTGTGCATTTCTTTCTAGTACACCTTAAAATCAAAAAGGCCTCACAACCCCCCATGACACTTTGGCGGCCCCTAGTGGTGGTCGGGACTGCCAGGTGTTGAACCACTGGAGTATAGGATGGGTCAGATGCTGTGAAATTACAATAGGCTGAAATTATGGTGGCTGTGTAACAAAAGAGAAGACAAGACAACAAATCAGAAACCACAACCAAGATCAAACTCCATCAAAAGTCTAGCTGTCAGTCGGCTTCATGTGGCGCTTCAGAGGAAAGGATGTCTAATTTCTCTAAAAACACACTTCCTTATTTCTTCTTTCATTGCATGGTTTCATTGAGTCACTGCATGTACCCTCACATAAGTGAGGGAAAGATGGATTCAGTTAAAGAACCTCAGTCACAGGCCAGTCCTTCCTTTTAAACAGATGGATGTCCAATCAGCCATGGTCTTTGTCGACAGCAGGTACTACCTTTTCCGGTAGAAGTTAATGCTTCTACCGTACTTTGTGTTTTCTGCTTTGTGGTTTCTCTTTTGTTAATTTGATTTGCAATTTGTTGTTGTGTTTTCCGTTTTGTTGTTGTGTTTTGTGGTTTGTTGTGCTCTCCTATTTGCTGTTGTGCTTTGCACTTCACGGTCACCATATAGAAGGCTGTAGTCCTAATTCTATTCTATACTTTGGTGCTGACAGTGGTTTTAAATTAAATTAAAGTTTTTTTTTTCCTGCTGCTAGATGAGAGCGGTTTGAATGAATCAAACCAGTAAAGTTGTGGGTGGAAAACGTGTGTGCTAAAACATGCTACCACACTTCATAGTAAAGTAATTCTAATCGTAACACTTTGCTCAGTTTAGGACTGTAGAGCCATAAAGGGAGAGGTTTGTTCAGCCAGGTGTACCTACACATTTACACTCCACACTCTGCAAGACCTCCTGTATACACCGAACCAGAAATAGGAATTATCCTCACCCAACCCATTCTCATTCCAGGATGCAGTCAAACGCTGCAAAAAGTGGAATCTTAAGGTTCCGTTTCATTTAGCGTAGCAGAGCCTTTTCCAGTGAGCAATGCACAATATCAACAGAACAGAACCTTAAATCTATATGACCTTTACATAGCGGGAGAGTCCTGTGTTTCTAGAACACTGACTATATGAATGAGGAACACTCCTGGACCAGAACCTCATCCCACTTCATCCGCTGGCCACACACAGGACTCCAAATAAATGCTAATGTTGTGTCTGCTGGATGTGTAAACTACTGTTTGCTTACATGACTTTATAGGAGGTTTATTTAAGAGCTGAGTGTCTGTCAGTTGCAGGATCCTGATGTACTTCAGGACCACTCACTGCAGCATCTATAAACCACCAAGAACAAACTCACACAATCAGACCAGGAAAAAGGTTTTGATTATGGTTTAATTTACCTCTTGTTGAAACGGTTGAAAACACAAAATGTTTAATAAATCTGAGATGACTTAATTTGTTTTGTCAGTTAGCTTACTAATGTGTAATCAGTAACAAGAATATAAAATTAGAAAACAAAACAAATATAACATTTGTAACACAATAATTATAATAAATCAGCTTGTAACTTGACAAAGTAAACATTTTGTGCCCTTGCCCTCCCTCTGTGTCAAACAGCATGTAAACCCAAACAAGCCTGAACAGATGCATTAAAGATAAAGTTTCAAAATATTCTATGACCACTAATAGGCTGAGAGTTCCAAGTCAGCGTGAGCTGTAATTGCGGATTTATGTACAAAAATGTTCACATGCACCCATTTCCTGTTCCCGTGAGCTCCTTTGCTTTTTCATAGCTGCTGACTCATCACACAACCCAGACTTGGAACAAGGTCATGGCCCTCCAGCCAATGCCTGCTTCACCTGGGTGATCTGATTGACAGCAGAGATCAACTCAATGGATATTTGGCAGCATGTGTACATGATTCACACCCACAGGTGTTGTCTGTGAAGGTTACAGAGTGATACAGACTGCAGTTTATGAGACAGAGTGGGGTGAGAGTGGGTGTGGGAAGGTAGACACAAACTATGGTAACTTATGTGTGTGTAAGCGTGTGTGAGCAGAACGGAAGTTCAACATATCTTTGGGGCAGAACTAATGTAATTGGTTGGGTTAAATAACAGAAGGAGCCACAACGTTCCTGTCAACACTCATCACACCACGCAAAAAAAGACATGAGGGAGCTAACATGTTAGCTGCTAACACAAAAAATACCCATGCTGTTCCAGTGATTCCTAAATGGTAACAGTTAATTTCAGGTATTATCAAAAATGATGAGTAAAGGAAAGAAATCGTTGTGAGTTGGGGGCCTTCATTCAGTTAAAGCGAACACAGACTTTACTTTCTTTAGCTTATTAACTAAGCTAGCATACTAAAACAAACTCCCTGAGCTAACCTGCTGGCACTCAATGTAGACTGTCATGGTCAAAAATGAAAGTAAATGTACCATTGTTGTTCCATTCTTCTTCCATATTCAGAGTTTCAATGAAGCCAGGGAATTGTGGGCATTGCAGGCAAGTCCCTGCATGTGTTATACTGCATTCACACCATGTCAGCACAATAGGAATGATGGGAAAACCTCCAATTATTTCAACTTGGGAGTGTTTCCGCTTTGTAGACACACCAGGTAAACACAAGTTAAATTACTGTTGTTTGTTAACAAGTGAAACCAGATACAAGCAGTGCATTGCTGCTTTTCAATGATGGTAATTGACGGTATTTGTCTTGCTTGATTTTATTTGGATGTAACTGCCAGCAATGGTGGTTTTGCAGCTGTTTTGTGACTGCCTGGTTCATTGATTTCTGTGGTTCTTTTCATGTGGGAGATATCGTAGCTCAAATTCAACAGTCAGACTTGGAATTACAACCAGGAGGCTGACGTGAGCAGTTTTTCTACTTGGCTGCTTTTCATTATCCTCAGTAGCTACATTAACAATATTCTTGCAAAGTTGGCCATTAACCTTTTAAAGTAAAGGCTAGAGATTCTTCTGCTTGGAGTATGCTTCCCATTAACATCAGACAGATCAAAAGTATATTTCTTTCAAAAAGTCACTTGACTTGAGCCAGTTGATGAATCATACTTAGATGTTATTTTGCTATTGCTGCTTTGTAACCTTTTTGGTGCTCACAATATATTTATTGTTTTGGTGTTGTGTGTGTTCTGTTTTTGTTTACATTGTAGGCTACTTTGTTAAAAAAAGGCCCTATCTAAGTGTTTGGTTTGTCCATTCCAGGTCCAGGCTACTGTAGAAACATGGTGGTTCAACATGGTGGCCTTCGTACAAGAGGACCCACTCCCAATTCCCCAGGAAGAGCGCCGGGCTTTGAAGCCAATTTTATACTCTTAAATTGTGAAAGAAGCGGCTTTAAAACAGTGGATACACTTTTTTTATTTTATCAGAATTTCAACCATTTGGTGCGATAATATTTGGAAAGTCCAGAAGAGCCACCCGATTAAATCATTTTATCTCCGTTCGAGGTTGAGGGCTAAACCGGAAGTTAGCAGTCCTTGGCCAGTGAGAGTTTCTATTGCGCTTGCTAAAGATCTGGGTAATTTTATACCAGCAAATCAAACTTTCCTGGCTTCATATGCTACTGAGCAGCTTCCATAAGAAAGAATGCAGCCCCCCCTCTGATGCTGTATCCAGTTCTCCCTTAATACATCCATGACACACTTCTGTTTGATTAAAAACAGCTCATTCTAAGGTAACAAAAACACACAAAATTATCCTTATTTTTTAGGTGACTATACACATAACATACCTATGAATATTATATTCCATTCTTGCCAATACATTGTCCCAAATGTTACACACTGGACCTTTAATGTATCATTCGTAATTAAAAACAAAGAAATCACTGAGGGCTAACTACATGTGGCTGTTTGGCTCTGCCCACTAACTTAACTCTATTTTTATTATATTTCTGCCTCAAGAGCAATTTTGCCTCTGAAAAAAATATATCTACAGCAAGATTTAAAATGTATGTGTGTGTTCACCTAAAGCTCAATAATGAGTTTCCCTTCATCGTCACTACTGCTGGTGTCTTCTGTGTAGTCCTGGCAGCTCGGCACAGCCCTCACTCCACCGCTCAGACACTCGGACGGCTGGTAGCCCTGAAGCTGGCCAGCAAACAAAAAAGACTGGTATTTGTTGGTAATGTCAGGTCTCCCAGAGTTACTGCTCTGACTCGTGTAGTCATTTGGAGCCTTATCCTTGGTGTCTGGGTAATCAGCAGGCTCGGGGTATGTAAAAGGCTTTGATGGCAGTAGAGTACTGTTATCCAGCATGTTTGAGGCTTGGGTGTCCCCTGGCAATCCAGGAGCAGCTCCATTCACTTGAACAGAGTAAGAAACTTGGCCGAGGTGTGTGGAGGACAGTGTTTTGACATCAGGCAAGAGGCTTTTGTGATTGCCTAACATACAGGTTACTGCTGGGATGTCGTGGCCTGCAGGATTTCCTTGATTTCCTTCCTGTTTTTGGTCCTGGAGTGAAAAGGTCTGTTGAGGGCCAGACTCAGTTTGTGAAAAAGCATGTTCTGTTTCTGTTAAATGGCCCTGTGCTTTGACATGTTGACTTGGCTCAAATAAGATCTGTGTTCGTTGGTTATGGATGCTGCTTTCCCAGTGCTGTTGTGAGAAATATAAGTTGTTCATTTCCATCAGGGGCTGTGGAGAATTGAAAAGGCTAGTCTCTCTGCTGCTGGCAGGTAGATGAAGGTTATTTGACGTGCTCGGAGCTTGCTGAGCGCTCTGTTGAGGGTACTCAGACATTCCAGAGTGTGTCTGGGGAAGATGCTGTAGATGCTGCTCCGATAGCCAAGAGTTTTTAAAGGAATCCGCCTTGGCCTTTCTGTCTTCTCCCTGTTAATGAAAGAAGAAATGAGCAGGAATATTACCACCATAATAGTACAGTCATTGTCCTCCCTCCATTGAACCTCCTTATTAGCTTCCTGCATTGCTGGCATACCAGCTTCTTGTGTCCAGTGAGTTGTGAATTATGATAAAATCATCATAGGGGGATGTTAGATTGGTGGAGCATTCAGTTGTTCCAAGCACTGCTCTTTAGCTATTCATTATGCACCTTGAAGTTCGAAATCATATGGAAGAAATTCTGCCATAAAACAGAATATTGCCAATGTAACTGCTGTCAGCTCCCTACTTCTGGCAGTATTATAATGGATTGCTGATGTTTTAAAGTTTGGCAAAAGGCTCACAAAGCCTCGTAATTTATATCTGATTTACCACCGTGTGTGGCTCTGTAATATACATTTTTGTTTAGCATATTTGTTATGTTGTGTAAATCTTGTTTTTTCTGTTCAACACATCTCAGGCATTTTATTTTTATTTGTTGTGTTACAAACATTTCATGAGAAAAATTCTGGCTCGAGTGTCTCTATTTTCCTGGTAAATGTCTTTAAGAAATGAAAAACAATTCGGTGATGCAACAAGCCATTATGCCTCCAACCTGCTTCCACATGATCCCCAGATCAAGATAGTCTGAATATATCTGCTGGTGGGGGATTTGTGGAAAGATTTAGAGTTTTAGAATAATTAAAACAATAAAAGGTATTTAGAAAGTATGCTGAATTGGAAAGAATCTTGTACATTTTGAGCCTGTTTCGTGACACTTGTGTGCCATTCCTCTGTTGCATGTGTTTAGTTTGAAAGGGGGTTTATGTGTAAGTGTAGATATATTTGTGAAGGGAGTTGGTCAGATAGATCAAAGTTACTGATATTAAGTATCTCATATTTAATTTTGATCTGTTTACTTGTGTCTGAGCTGTACAGTCATTTGTCTGTGAACTTTTTAAAGACACCCTCTGAAAATATTTATACCGTGTTTGATATGTTGATAAGATTCCTTCTGCTTCAATTTCCAAAAAATATAAAAAGTCATAAAAGTTAAAATATTCTATTTCTCCTTTTGTTGGGGACCCTACAACCCACTCAACGACCCCTGTAAGTCCCCATACCCCAGGTTGAAAGCCACTGTCCTACTTCACTGTAAAGTCCATTTCCAGTGGATTTGCACTGGTGTCTTCATGGTTCTACATCACACTGTACAAGTTGCATACTGGACCAGGACTGACTTCCTAACTGTGATGCGACAAATCATTCTGTTAGGCAGGTTTTCAAAAAGCGGAGAGAAACTTTCCTCTTTCAGCAGATGAATTTGAAAACTCCCTTCTAGTGTGAAACTCTGCACATACGTACAGCATTCTGCACAGTGAAGATCAAACACCACACTGTAGGAACAAGAAGACTGATTGGGAGGCTTTTAAATATACCACTGTGGAATATAATCACTAAAACCGCAAGAATTGACCTAATTCCTAACTCCCACCCCTTTTCGCTCTGTGCTCCAGTAACAGTTGAGCAAGTCTCAGTCAGAACCTCAACTTTCTCCTGTCCTGTACTTAGATATGCTATGTGCTAGGCTAATCTATGTTGAAAAAGCAGTCAAATTTTGACGACTGTTAAAAGATAAACCTTAAGTTAGCTAATGTTAGCAAAACATCTGAAAGTCAATGTTAGGAAAACGCTAGCTAACTAGTTAGCTAATTGATATAAGTCATTAGTTAGTTACCGAGTTAGTTAACTTTTTGCTAACATTACCTCACAAGACAATACAACTGTTATTGGAGCACAGAGCACAAAGGGCGGGGCTTAGAATGGGTCAGTTGTGTAGTAAACATGCATCCTGTGAGCCATGAATAAATTCATTCAGTCTCACCTCTGGCTTTGTCACATCCTGTAAATACGTGTATCTGCAGTCAGAATCGGCCTTGCCTGACTGTCCTGGCTCCTCAGCTGTCTCTATTCCTCTGTTCTTATCCTCACCCACCACGCCCCCAGCACCCTGCACCTCCACACGCTGGTGGTTTGTCTCTCCAGCCTCTTGGCTCTGCTTTGGCCTCCAGTCTGTGCTGTCTGGCTGCTCTGGGGTCCCTCCATGTCCCCATGTCTGCAGCTCCTTCTGGTCTGCACACCCCGCCAGGGAGTCTCCCTCTATGAGCCCTAGGGAAAGAAAAGATTTTTTTTAGGATCAATGTATCTCAATGTTAATGTTTATCAGTCAGTTTTAACTTGCCTGAAAACCAAGGTGGAGATTATACATCTTATGTAAAGCCCTGAATGTATAAACAATGAATGAAATGAATGTAACATCATGTCAAAGTAATGTGCGTGTCACCAGCCCATCAACCAAATTAAAGGAAATGATGTGGCCATTTTTTCTGGTGGGATACATATTGTTGTGATATACACATGGAATTATGTGGTCAGATATAATATGCAGTGGAGGGTATACAGTAACAGCACTTGTCTTGAAGAAAAAGAAATGAGCTATAGACTTTCTATAATTAGCATCTTTGGTCTGGCAAACTCTCAGTACATAGTGCAGTAAGAAAACTCACATGGACCAGTGCCACCTCTCCTCCTCACACTCTTCTTAATGTTTACCATCAATGACCTCCATAGTGCTACAGAAAACTAGTGGCAAGTAATCTCTAACCTGGCATAGCTAATGATAATCTGCAGAAAATTTAATTTACAGTGAACTAATTGTTCAGGACTACCATGGGAACGACAAACTATGAGTGCTAGCCCTTTTTGTTTACCCTTTAACTTTGTTACCATCTGTAGCTTAAAGAGTGGGGTCGAATGACACTTTAAAATAATTCATGTGAGGCAGCTTACATTTCACAATAGTAAGGACAATAAAACTCACAATAAAAGCCACATGAACTGCTTTGACCATGATTTCATTTCGCCATGAGAAATTTTAAGAATATTGCCATTTCATTATTTTGTCTATAATAGTAGTGCATTTCATTTCTCTAAAGACCAAAAAGACCCCCACATCAATTGTGGGTTTTTAGTTATTCTGCAATACACAAAACCTTTCAGACAAGACTTCACTCTGCAAATTGGTGACCACATACTGCCATCTTGTGGTAAAAATATGTTTCTGCCATCAAACACACTGCAGCATGTACATAAGTATTCCCTCAGACATGTTTTTTGTTGTGTTGTCTCTGTACTTCTGAACCTAAACAACAACTATGAGGTGAAAGAGCCTATAGATGTTCACATCCACACCAGATGAACAGCAACTGTGGCCCTCTTTACAAGTAAATGTGTTGTACAAATTAGGATAAGCGTTATTAAATAATTTACAATTACTTCAGGCCCCTGTTGACACCACCACTTTCTCTCTGTACTGTGTATCCTCTCACTCTAAACTTAATGAAGATATTAAACTAGTTTTGACATCGAGCCCTCAAGATTCACAAGGTTTTGTAATAACAGAGGACCTGATTAAAGGCCCAAATTACCATCAACCGTACACAGTGAACCTGGGGCTTTAGTGGCCCTTGGTGGCCTGGGGCCATGGTAATTCCATCTTTATTTTGTTTGTGTGTTGTTTTTGCTGTCTGGTCCTCAGCAGTGACATACATGAACGAAAGTCAGGTAACTGACATTTCACTTACTCGGCCTAAAACTTTCGGTTGTTATGTATGTTTAAGGTCATTGCTACATATCGTAAAATTGGTGGACTGTATATAAACACTAGCTGAAATTGATGTGAACAGTATCAAACACCCTTACAGTCAGCTATTTGCCCTCATAGTCAGTTTAATTTTAAATCCAATGTGCTGGAGTACAGACCCTACACTGTATATTCCTCAGATCCGTGGGATCAGTGGGAATGCATTATATAATTAAAATAGTCATATATACCTGCAGCAGGACTCTGAATACTTGTAAGCACAGCTGGGATGTCCTTAGGTCTTTCCACCTGGATGTTAGAAGACAGTGAAGTAAACTGACCCAGTTGTTTTTCTGAGTGGGATGAGCTGATTACGTTCTGTGATTCACTCAGAGTCATTTCCTGTGTAGGGGCAGAATTGTCCATAGGGCTCACCCTGTCACATCCCATGTTTGCATGTTTGGATGAATTCAGAGCCTCTGATAATGTGGATTCCGCTGGACTGCTGCAGTAAATGGATGCCTGTGGGTCCAGCTGTCTCGGAGCTTTGCATTTATTGATGGAAACTGAAGAAACTGAGCCAGAGAGTTCATCAGGACATGCAGCACCAGAGGCCTGACCAAGCCCAGCCAGCAGAGGGGGGTGGGTTTCTCCACTTTCCAACTTGCTGCTTTTGTATGCAGAAGCTTCACCCTTGGCTTTCATCATGCCTACATTACAAGTGGCCCCTTGATTTTTAAGTTTGTGTTGGCTTTCATTTCCCAGTATTTCTCTTCTCTTGCTATTCTGATTTAGTGTGCTGGGAGAGAAAGAGGTCATGCTGAGCTTGTGTTGGCCAGAGAGTGTTTGAGAGACCAGTCCACCTTGGCTGACCCTCCTGTCTGGCAAAGGTTGCTCATCAGCACAATGGTTCTGAGAAAGTGTATGTTCCTCCTCTGAAGTTTGGCTCCTACCTGACCTTACACCTTTGAGTGAAGCAGCAGTTGACATAACATCGGCTGTGTGCCTCTGAGTCTCTGTGTCCATGTTTACGTGACTGTATTTGTGTGGGCGTTGTGACGAGTCTGGTGCTTCAGAAGGCTTAGATTCTGATTCAGTGGATACTGTAGCCTGTGTGGAAATTATGTGTTCAGTCGAGTGGAGATTTGGCTCTGCCTTCCCAAACTGTACAGACATTGAAGGTTTAATTCTCTCCAAAGTCTCACTTTGGTCCAACTCCTTTTGATGTCCTGGCTGTTGATGGTCCCTTCCCTCACTGCTGCTTTCCATGGTGATGGAGCTTTGAGCTTTATTCTGGATCACTCCCGGGGCCACTGCTTCCGTATCACGTCTCTGTGAGAGGGTATTGCCAGCTTGCCTCTCTATCTGGGGTTCAATGAGAGCCAGTTGCTCATCAGATATGATCTGGAGGCAGATCTGGAGGTCTGCTGTGTGAACATGAAACACATTCTGAGCAGCTGGCTGCATCTGGTCAAACGGTACAATGTGACAAGGTACAACTGGGGTGTTAGAGCTGGTACGTGCCCGGTTTAGAGGGCTCAACAGGTCGGATGCTGGCGAGAGTTGTGTGTGTGACGAAGGAGGGTTATGGTTAGGTTGACCTTGTGAGACAGCTGTGATGACGGTGGAAGATGTTTGATTGTTTGCTGTGGTTATGTTAGGTGTAGCAGGGAAGTTCGCAACCACAGGTGCAACAGGTCTGGGTAACTGCCTAGGTGCCAAGCCTCCTGCAGACTGTGAGGGCTGTATTGAAGTGCTGCATAATCCTCCTTGATAATCTTGTAGGCAGGTTGTGGTTATTGTGGTAGCTGCAAATTGCCTGTGCACTACAGCTAGGCTAGATGATACATTTTTATTGAGACTTGATGTTTCAGTCTGACAAAGGGTAGTGACTGTGCAAGGCAAGAGGAGCTGGCCTTCTGTGGAGCTGAAAGCATTTGTCTTTTTGATATCACAACTCTGCATCAACTGTGAGGTGGCAGGATCACTACATTTCTTTTCAGAAGCTGTGACTGAGAGTGGGGTTTGCTCAGTGTGAGAAAATGACAGAGCAGAGGTGAAATTACTGCCATCACTTTCTGCCAGTTTATCCACAACATGCGGTGAAGGATTTGAATCAGGTTCAGCAGCATTAGGTAACTTGAGCTGGTATTTGGGCAGGAAGCTGGTCTTGGCAGCAGAGGGGGTGGAAGTGGCTGAGGAGGTGCTAACAGATGATGTATTTGCATTGATTATGCGTGGTGGGAAGATAGCTCCTTTGAGCTGTGTATGTTTTAGATTATTTTGAAGGTTGTTCATACTGAGATTTGTATCCTGCTGAGGTGCAATGCCAGTGACAGAAAGAGGGGGATGAGTCAGTGTGTTTGTGTCGGTCTCCATCTCTAGAGGGCAAATTATTTTGTCATCAGTTTTTGGCTTTTTCCTGTCAGAGGGAATATGGGCTCCACAGAGCTGTGAGCTGAAGTCAGTATGTTTGTCTTCATTAATCAATCTCCCATCATCTGCTCTGTCTGTTTTGTGGCTAACCAGTGATCCAATTAAAGGTAATGGCAGTACTGACAAAGACAGATTTCTCCGTAGTGGGCTCTTGAGAGAGCTGCATGATGTATGAAGCTGGCCGGTTTTTAGATTAAAATCCACAGCAGAGACGAGGGATAGTTTGGCAGGAGGGCAGTCTGGATGACACGCTATTGCACTGCTGCTTGTGAAGTTTATTGCTGAGCCTGTTGTTGCCACTGTCTCCTTATGAACCTCTGACAACCTTTTTTGTAAGCCCTGAACAACCTCAGGCTCTGGGTTCGTTGAACATTTCCTGCCTTTGATAACACTGTCATCCCCGCCTTTCTCAGCATTGTAGAGCTTCTTAAAAGTCCCTCCCCCATACACGTACCACTTGTTGTAGGCAAACTTCTGTGCTTTCTTCCTCCGGAACTTTCTGTTGCTTGGCTCTCCACAAATGTCACCGCCATCCCCATCGCAGCTGAGACTGCTGGTGCACGCCTCCTCCACAGATGAATTCATGCAGAGACCGTCTGTTGCGTGGTTGCAGTCTACGGCTGACTGACGGACCAGTGGGCGGTGGGTGGATGACTGCTGGTTCATAGGCTTGATCGCAAAACCTGTTGGATTGATCTGGCCAGAGCTTCCCCTCCGGGCGAGTGTTACATAATCACTCTGATAAGAGGAGGTTGGGGTGCTCCTCTCAGGCTGTAGGAGGGTAACGCTGAAAGGGAGGGAGTTGCTGCGGGTTAAGGGGGCATGCTCCGTGGTGATGGAATGCTGAGTGGGCACAGAGCTGTACAAACCAGGGTTCCTGTTTCTTTGTAACCCAACATTCGGACTCTTATTCATCTTCATGTCAAAGTGAAAGGAATCCTTGTATGTGTATGGCATGGGAAGGTCAATACTACCCTGCTTTGACAGAACTGTCTTCCGTGGCCTTACATTTTCCAGCTGTTTGTCCTCAACAACAGCTGTATTCTCCGAAATTAGCTTAGATATACGCTCCTCTAGTGTCTTTTGCTCCTGCTCCCTTGCAGTGTCTTTTTGTTCCTGTTCACCTTGGCCTGGTTCTGACAGTGTTTGTTTGTTGGTGGTTTCCTCAAGATGCTCCTTGGTGGATTCAGTGAGGGAATCCATACTGTGATCATGTAAAATGCTGCCAGGGCTTGGGTAGTGGTCACTGCTCTCACTGAAGCCTGAGTCGGTGCTCTCATGGCTCTGCGATTTTCCTCTGGATACAGAGCTCTCCCACTGCTTGGAGAACAGGGTGGCTTCTTGTCTCTGAAGGGGAAGATGTCGACTCAGCGTAGGTTTTTCATTTTCCATCCTCTGTTTTTCACCTGCTGTTGTGACCTTTGCACTTTCATTTGGTTCTTTGGTCTTATGATCTGCAGGGGTCACCTCATTCTGTTCCCTGACAGAACCATGCATATTTACAGAGTAGACCCTAACAGTGCTGACTGGACAGGTGATCTCAGCAACAGGTAGAGTGGCATCCTTTTCCATGCTGCCTGACTCGTCCAGAGACAAACTGGAGGTACAAGTCTCTCTGGAGCTGGACATGCTGTCTAGGCTGCCCAGGCTGCTCTGATCTGACTCAGACGAGAGGCGGGCATGAGCCTGAGTACGCTTATGTTTGTAGAGGTTGCTCTGAGTCTTGAAAGAAATTCCACAAGTAGTGCAGGGGTACGGCCGCTCCCCGGTGTGGCAGCGGAGATGCTTCTCCAGCACACTGGGCTTCATGCAGTCTCGTCCACAGTGAGGACACACGTGCTTTCCTGCCGACTTGGGTCTGGCTGCAGGAGAAGCAGCTGCCAGACTCAATCCCGGCTGAGACTGCAGCCCACCAGCAATATGGAGTGTCAGGAAGGGAAGCGTCTCCTTGGAGTAAAGCGGCGGCATGGCCAGATGGAGTGTGGCTGGCTCCCGGGCAGCTGGAGGAGGATGGGGGTAAGGCTGCGCTGGTAGAGCAGGCACTGTGTGGATGTAAACAGCCGTCAGCGGGGCCTGGATGTCCATCCTTTTCTCTGTCTGCGCTGCAACGGAGTTGATGTGCACTGGAGCACTCGCCAATCCTGGCTTGCCAGTCTCCATGGTAACACTGCTGCTGTCGTGATGTACCAGTGCCAGGACTCTAATTACCTGTAAGATAAGAACAGTTTGCATTAGACCTCTGCTTTGCCTCAGATTAGGCAGATCTGCCTATTTGAGCTTGGATGTCTAAAATGAGAGCTCATTCCTCTAGAATTTTTATTGTGCCAGTAGAACAGAGAAAGGAGCATAGCAATGAATAAAGCAGTTAATGATTGCAGATATGCAGTACCCTTAAGGACAGATGGCTAATAAAGCAATTAATTATTTTTGGCTTTTGCATGGTTATAAAATGCAGGGAGATGATGTCCACAATTCTAAAACAACAACACAAAAGCACATCTATATCTAGCTCAGTGATATTATTTTGGTGATGAGCAATAATACCCATGGTTACAGCATGCAGAGAAAGTAGAGGAATTGAAATCTCTGCTGTTTAATTTTAAGAGCATGTGATGCAGGAATCAGCTCTTAAGATATGTATATATTCATGCGGGCAGTGGACACATATGAGACAAAAACATGGAGAAATGTATATATATAGTAGAGAGAGGTAGGAGATGACGTAGGGGAGTGACTCACATCAGGAGACGGGTGAGGGAGTGAGATCAGATACTCATACAGTACAGCAGAGGCTTTTATCTCCCTAAATGAAACGTGTCTGCTGACATTAGCTGTTGCCTCTGTCACCAGTCTACACCAATTAAATGGCTTACCCTTGATGTTCACAGTAGCATGTGGCGGCTTTGTCTCCTGACAGACTGTCATTTTTGTGTGGTAATCTAATCAAAGCGCAAAGCCACCTACATGAAAAGATGAATAGTTTCATATTAGGTCAAGCAAATTTCATTTCCTGTTGCTGTGATGCTCTGCTGCATGTATTGTGATTTTGCATAATTCACCCACAGAGGTACAGTTGGCATGGAGCACACTCTTTGTTAGTTCTACAGCATGAGCACGCCCACGTCAGATTTTTTTTTTTGTGGTGCCGTGAACTGAGGAAAGTTTCTTTCTGTTCATGTTCAAGTGAGTTCTCCATTAAAATGAAGAGTGTATTTTAATTTTCAAACGTTATTTACTCTGGGACTTAAATCCACCATTAATGTACTGTGCTTTCACTTCCTTACTGCTGTGTAAATATGTCATACACACACATGTTTTTTTTCTAAAAGCACTTGTAGTCAGTTTAAAATTGCGCACAAGTGTGTCCGGGGTAGAATGAGTTTAAAAAGAGGTCAGCTTCTGCTTGTAGTTAGAACAAGCATTACCATAAATGTATAACATCAAAAAGTTAATTAAAAGGAGGACTTTCTAGATTTCATGTGTCATAATGAAAAAAATGTGTTCTTTCATCTTATCTGCTCTCTATTTATCTAATTTCCAACTATTGTTCTGACTTCATAAAATTAACGTTTGAAAAGAGGAAATATCTGATGGTGTTGCCATAACACAGTGTAGGTAAGAATAGCACTACAAGAAGCCAGGACATGCCACTACTAGGCCGAAACTCAGGCGCAACAGTTTAAAAAAACCCAACAGAAGTCACTTACCTTGTTGCTTTGCAGTTCAATCAGCAACAATTATCCAGCTAGGAAAGTCCTCTACACTGAACAGCATCATCCTCAGTAAACCTGCTCCTTTCAATCTGTTCTGACATCCAGGCCGTTTGTCCCTCTCCAATCTGATTTTCTTGCACAGCTCTTTGACGTGAACTGTTTCTTGTCACGAGGAAGCGGAACAAATGCAAATGAGAGAAAAGATGCACTATGAAAGTGGCGAGGCAGAGAGGAGGAGAGTGAGGAAAGGAGAAGGGCTGGCTGGGTGGCTGGGTGGGTGTGTGGCTGTCAAACAAAGACTTCCGGAGGACAAGTTGAAAACATAGATTACACAGAATGATCAGCAGGAGTGAAAGAGCAGAGAGGCCCTGAGCACAGATGGAAGGATTTAAGGCTAATGTTGTGTTGTGCAGAAGTGAAAGCAACCGCCTGGCAGAGGAAGTGCAATGACAGAGACAAGCCTACCTTCAACAGTCACGTTAGCTGACTGACTGACTTTGGCATCAACATTTTGAGGCAGTACCTGACTTCTGGCTCACTTATATACTCGCTCCCCCACCTACCTACTTCCTCCCACACACTGCATTTCATACACCCACATATACAAGGGTGCAGCAAAGCTAATGTTGATGTGGCTGCTTGGCTGCACGTGCACTGCTCTCACTCTCTCAGGCAGAGAACAAATGGATGAGTTATGAGTGGCTGTAGTGAATTTCCCACCTCCAACCACAGCTCCCGTTACAATATGTATGTATGTTTTTTTAAATCACAATCTCTCATTCGACTCAGAGTTCTTTGCTGCATTTATTGTTGCTAGTTTTAACCAGCAAGTGTGGATTTAAGAATACTGATTATATTTTCACTCAGGAATCTAAAAAATCCCGAAGAATGTAAACCAGTAAACAAACATGTGATCACTTCCTCTCAAAAAGTACAGTTAAACCAAATAAAATGTTCTGTAATTGTACCATGTAAAGTAATAATTTTCTTCTCTCTTCTTTCCAGCCGTATTTTGACTTCTCCCAGTCCATGTATTTTCCTCTACTCCAAAGACCTTTACCACCGTTCCACCAGATGCCCTGGGATTTTCCCTTCCTTTCTATACACATGCAGCTCCATTCTTGGCTCCCGGGCCACCTGCCCCCTGAAATCTGGACTGAGAGTTATACAGCTAATACACAACCACTTTATTTGTTTGACCTGTGACTGGACTTACTATTGCTACTTTTTACAGTTCATGATGGCATTAAAAACAAATGAAATAGGCGCCCAGTTAGCTCAGTCGGTAGAGCTGGCGACCCATGTACGGAGTTGCTGCAGCAGTCCAGGGTTTGAATCTGACCTGCAGCCCTTTGCTGCGTGTCATCCCCTCTCTCTTACCACCCTTTCCTGTCTATCTTCAGCTGTCCCTATCAATAAAGGCAATAAAAGGCTAAAAAAATAACTTTAAAAAACAAATGAAACACATACCTTTTCACATACACACACATTTGTATGTCCACATAGCCATTCCACCTAATGACCACAATGTCAGTGCCAGTTACACAACTGGGCCATCATTAGGTACCTTTCTGGACAGCATGAAAGAACAATATCCTGGCTGGGGAAGTTGTCTGAATGGTACCTTACATGTTGCAGGTGACTATAAAATAATTCATAAAGTTGTGCTGCAGGAATAACTTTACCACAACTGCACTGGATTACATGATATTTTGGCCACTTGGGGGCAGCACAACAAGCTGTAAACACACCACTGACATATTATCACCTTACAAGGCTCATGCATCCAGCAGATACAAGGTAACAAAGTAGTCTGTCTGGCCACCTGACGAATGTGTGAAGGAATGTTCACACTCCTTTTAGCTCTTTTTTGGTCTCCACCAACTCTGCCTGCCTCTGCTGGTGGAAAGAGAGGTCTGTGTTCATTTTTTGTTTGTTTCTGACAACTGTACACCTGCTCTAGGTTGACAATATGTTTATTTTGTCTCATGTCTTTGTCCATTTTAGCCCTGAAACTAGGGCTGCACAATTAATCAAAATATTATCAAAAAGTGCGATGTGCAAATCCCAGAAGATGCAATTTATTGATAAAGCTAAAATGTGCCCTGACCTACAAATCTTGTTCTCTAGATGTCAGAAAACATGTTTGTTTAGTGCAGACCTAAATAGATCGTCATTATTTGAATAGTTTTTTCAATGAAAATTACATTTTCGATGAAAAAAAATTGTGAATATCGCAAAATCTGTCAAAAGAATCGAGAAAGATAGCTGATTGCTGAGTCTCATTCCCAAAGCGTCAAATATAGCGCTTTGAAACTCTGGGAATGAGAATCAGCAACAATCAGCTATCTTCAAGCTTCCATCCCAAAGCGTCTTTATATCTTTCTTGGCTCTGATTGATATGACAAAAAGTAATTTTTTATAAATGTTACCTACTGCTGCTTTAATACAAAACTATTTAAAAAACAGATTGAAAAAAGTATTTCTACTCTCAATACCTCTGATGAAAGTGATGTTTTCAAAGCTCAGATTTTTTGAACAGTATGTCATTGTGTGGGATCGACAGATTATCAGATGACATCTGCTGAAAGAAAACAAATAGTTTTCATATCATTTCACTGCTTCAGACTCTAGCTGGTCTCCAAGGCAACTGCAGGCTGGTCCACTGAGAGCATGCTTTGTGTTGACATGGTAACAAGACACCACCTACCACGCATGTTTTCTACCGTCCTTATACAGCTCACAGTCCTGCAGGGTGGAAGCAGGGTTTCAGGGATGCTTTTAAAGATTGACTCAGATATTGACTCAGATTAAATGTTTTTAAATGGCAGGATGTGTATAGTCTATATGGATTTGTACAGATGTCTTATCCAAAACAGTCAGCAGGCGCTTCATGTTTTTGATACTGTAGATATTTTGGCTGTGTTAGTCAGGTTACTAGGATACAAGGTTGAGTCAGGTTTTACAGCTGATGGTCAGCAGTGACCAGAGACCAATAAAATGTATCTATTCCTCTGGTGGTTGCTGAACCTCTGCACTGGTAAAAGTACTTAGTTGTTTTGTTGCAACACATGTAATTATACCACAAATGCTGAAATGATCCCAGGGATGTCACCATGCAAGAGCTACAACTTCAATCTGTTGTGACAAATAGTTCTTCGCCCGTTATCTAATTTTGTGAGGACTGTGAAGTTGCCTGCCTCTGCACACTGCAACAGGCAAGCTCTCTCAAGTTATGGCCCTAGATTGAAGGTACCCGAGGGAAATATCCAGCATACTTTATTTGTGTTTTAATGGGTTTGAGTGGGTCCCTTGCTGCACTTTTGCAGACGAAATTAAAAATAACAGATGTATCATTTGAATAGGCCTATTTCTGACAGGCTAAGCTTCCATCTGCATGTTTTACACTACATTTCTGTTTTTTTGGCCAGCATTTGAACTGATGAGCCACATTGCGGGAGGTGGCAACTGAGAGACTGTGTGTGGGTGGGTGCTGAATTGCTGGAGGCCTATATCCACTTACTTATGCCTTTTCAGTAGCTAAAGAATAGCAGTCTCATGCCCTACTTTTGTCTTCATTATCACTACCAATAACACCCCTACCACCAGCTGCCAAACACAGTGCGTATATCTGACAGGGTTAAACTGTAAAGCACAATTATCGGCTCTGTTTTACATTAACACAGTCTTAGTTGCTGTGTTCAGTATGTAGCTCAGCAAGAGGCATTTCAAAGCATACAACTGCAAAGCCAAGACTGCTATTGTAGCAACAAAACTGAGATCAAAACCCAGGCAGAAGCATACAGCTTTTCATTCCTTATGTCTTTGAGATGCTGTACTTGTGCACCCTCTGCTGGGCCATGAGTGTAAGCCTACATATCTGAGGTAAAATAAGGTTTATACACATACAAAAGAAAATGATTTATGTGGTTAATTTGGGGTTAGTGAAACACAGAATACATACATAGCATTCAAAGCCGAATAACAGTCATTTTATATTAGCCATTAATCTGTTGATTTTTGTTTGAGATTAATTTAGTTTAGTCTATTAAAATGTTAGAAACAAGAGAGAAATTCCCATCACAAGCTCCCTAATTTCATATTGCTTTTCGTTGCCTGAGCAACACTCCAAAAGCCAACGTTCTTCATTTTAAAATGATATCAAACAGAGAGAACCAGCAAATTTGGTATTTTTGTTAAAATAAAAATCAAAATTGTTGTTCATTATTTTTATTTCAGTTGGTTAATTATTTCAGCACTAATTATTGGCTAAGTTAGTTATGGCTATTGGTTTTACAGAAAAAAAAAAGAAAAGGTGCTATATGTTTGGACTTTTGATTGTTTTGGCATGCGCTAGAGGGCATGTTGCCTTCACGTACCTTAAGGCACCATGTGTAATAACTTGGTATAATGACAAAAATACCATTGTAACAGCGGAATGTTTATTTTGCGTTTTACTTAGTTAATTTGTGACAAAGTAAAACAAAGAGGATAAATCTATTTGTGTTTAAGGCAGTTATCACTATCATTTCTTAATTTAGTCATAGCGCTTCCTTTTCTCCCCCTAAACGTCACATTTTACAGCTTAGGGTGTTACACTCATTACTACTCCGCCTGTCCCATTCACTTTGCAAGTACGCTATTACACCGATGTTTAATGATTAACGTTAAAATCACTGACTGCTTTAAATGTGAAAATTCTGTTTACCATGAAGGCAACCTCTGTACAAGCTTTCAGTGCCGTGACGTAGCACGCAAATACGTACAGCGTAACGCACGTTTGGGTCTAGAAGCGCCATTGGAAGTTTGAAGAGGGTTAGATATTTTAAGATTAATAGTAAAAAACACTATTCAACCCGTGTCCTTAAATGGCACATAATGCTGTTGTTGCATATTAGAGACGTCCGCTCAGTGCGGGCTTTTATCCGCGCTTAAACTGCTGTTGTTTTTGCTCTCTCTTAGCTAACTGTAGCCACAAAGCTAACGTTATTAGCAGCACTGCTAAGCCCAAGTTCCATTCATTGTGTGTAGCCATAATGTTAGTGTAGTCCCAGCTAACGGTGTGTGTGTGTGTGTGT